AGCTGGGATCCAGGGCGAACACATAGATATGCTTATCATTCCCGTCACAGCACAGACTTCATAATCCCCTTAATGAGGAAGGGAGAGAAACTGACATCTTATTTTATCTTTCAACAATTTTATTAAAACTGGGATTATCTGACTTTCTAATTTACAAGTGATGTAATTGAAGATTAGAGAGCAAAATAATTTGTCCTGGGTCACATTTTTAATTGTGAGGAAGATTCCAGGTTTGAACCCAAAATTCCTGACTCCAAAGGGTATTTTTATTTTTATTCCAACACAAAAAGTGGAAGAATTCAAGAACTCTTCCGTGTGATAGTTCAAGAATTCTCAAACCTGGGCATTAGAATCACCTGGCAGACTTGTTAAATCCAAATTGCTGGGCTCTGCCCCAGTTTCTAATTCAATAGATCTGGGGTGAGACCCAATAATTTGCATTTCTAATAAGTTCCCAGGTGATTCTGATGCTGTTATTCCAGGGATCACATTTCCAGAAGCACTATCAGGCAATAGGTTTCCTTTTATGTCTGAATAAATGGTTTGCAACTCCAACTGCACATAACCAACTGAAAAATTTTAAAATAAATATACTCTGGTGTTATCCCAAACTGAGTGAATTATACCTTCCGAAGGGGATTCTGGGCACTTCAGAGCACTGCTATTGATTGCAGCATGTAGCACGGTTTGAGAATCAGTGGACCACAGCAAATACACAGGGGTTCCAAAGCTTACAATTACTAACACAAGTGTATTAGTCCATTTTCACACTGCTATAAATACCTGAGACTGAATAATTTATAATGAGAAGAGGTTTAATTGACTCACCATTCTGCATGGCTGGGAAGGCCTCAGGAAAATGATGGTGGGAGGTGAAGGGGGAAGCAAGGCACTTCTTACATGGCAGCAGCAGGAGAAAGAGAGAAGGAGAAACTGCCCCTTGTAAACCATCAGATCTCGTGAGAACTCTCTCACTGTCACAGGAACAGCACGGGGGAAACTGCCCCCATGATCCAACCACCTCTCGCCACCAGGTTTCTGTCCTGACACATGGGGACAACAATTCGAGATGAGATTTGGGTGGGGACACCAAAGCCAAACCATACCAGCAAGTGTGTTTCTGATGGTTATTACCTTTTTTCTCTAGGCTTTCTTCAGATGAATAACTGAACTGCTGCGATTTTCCTCTAATTTGGTCTCCAGGCCTCTCTGGAGAGCGGCGATAAAGCTTGGCTGTCCTAGGGCTCCAGGGGAGGTATTCACAGGTGTTTACAGTGTGTCTTTCACATGATGCTTCTTTATCCTGATTGACAGCGTAATGCCTGAGTCTGATCCACAGCCAGCTGTCTCTCTCAAAGGAAATCTGGCAGACACGCTTTGTGGCTCTTGTCTGATCTGTGTCCAGTTTATTTCTGCCAAGATAGCTACTCTCTAGGAGAGCGTGTTGTAAGTGATAACACTCCTGGAGCCCCCGGACCTTGCATTTTGGTTTCCTATTCTCCTTATGTCTTACCTAGTAAGGTTCAGGTGTGCCAGTCAGGAGAGAGAGAAGGAAAATGGGAAACTGAAATGCATTATGTGAGAGACAGATGACCAGCAGGAGCACACCTTTATCAAGGTCTAGGGGCTCCAGGAGTGTTCTCACTTAGGCTTTCCACAGGGGGTTGTGAATTTGCTAGTTCAAGGAAAACACGTGTGAGAAGGGGAACGTACCTACACGACTCTGGTGTTGGCCATTGGGTTTATCACGGTCAACAGTTGTGGGATATGTTGGGTTTGGATTCAGTGGGATGAGGAACAAGTGGGCTATATTGCAAACAGCCACATAGGGAAGAGGAAGTTTTAACTAGGCCAAAGGTGACAGGGTACAACTGGACTTCAAACAACTTATGTCTGGCCTAACAATGGATGCCAAGGCAGCAACTGTATTAAACAAATTTATGACATAGAGATAACCCAGAAAGGGTCATCTGTTTGTGTACTCTTAGCTTGCATGGGAATAGAGATAGAATAATTGCTACTTCATGACCCACATCAGAGAAGAAACTGTTCTTTTGATAGAACCTATTCAGATATATGTTGACTTTCTGCTTGGCATCTTGGAGCAATAGGAAAGTGTATGTTTCTATTGCTGGAAAGCCCTCTCGATCTCATTCAATCACCAGGTGCATTCAGGCTTAAGCCCCCTTTGGGGTGTGTAGGTAATCTGTATTTCCATGCCAGCACTGGCCTAGTTACAGTGCTAGGAATTTGTTCTGAACAACTGCAACATTTCTGACTTCCACCTCCTTCTAGACTCCCAGGGCTGTCAACAAGTCGTATCTTTCATCCTCATCAGCTCCTTTTACATTCCCACAGCAAGAAAGGAAAAGCAGCCAATGATGTATTTTGTTACCAAGCCACTGGGGACACCCTGGAGCCAGTATAAAAAAAAGCATGCCTGGCTGGGCGTGGTGGCTCACGCCTGTAATTCCAGCACTTTGGGAGGCCAAGGCGGGCAGATCACTTGAGGTCAAGAGTTCGAGACCAGCCTGGCCAACATGGTGAGGCCCCCCCACCCCGTCCCTATTAAAAATACAAAAATTAGCCGGACATGGTGGCACGTGCCTGTAATCCCAGCTACTCAGGAGGCTGAGGCAGGAGAATCACTTGAACTCGGGAGGCGGAGTTTGCAGTAAGCTGAGATCACATCAGTGCACTCTGGCCTGGGGGACAGAGCGAGACTCCATCTCAATAAATAAATAAAAGCATGCCTCAAACTTACTCCAGCCAAAGGCCACAGGAGCTGGAGAATTTAAGCACAGTAAGAGTCCAATCAAAGGAGAAAAACTATGCAATAATTGGAACAAAGTTTAAAATACATCATTATTAACTAAAATGGGATATTGGAGCAGTGAGGGGTTGACTAGTAAAAAGCAAAGAGAACTCTAAAGAATATAGAAATAGCCGACCTACGGAGCAGCCACTGCCTGCAAGGCTGAGCTGGAGTGTCCAAGGGAGACCCTCTACCCACAGGGTGAGGTCAGGTCCTAGTTGGACAGGTCATGGCTGTGACTCACTGAAGGGCAAATAAGTTGCTGTAGTGCTGCCTTTGTAGAACTTTCTGGAAATCTGCCCTCTAAATCTTACCAGAAATCCATCTTCTAAGGTGTTGGGGAACGTTGTTCATGGAGCGGTATCTCTCTAGAGTCACTGCTACAAAACTACCGAAGGTGGTGTCTTGGGACGCTGCTGGTTGCCATCACAGTCACTGCTACAAAACTACCCAAGGTGGCGTCTTGGGACGCTGCTGGTTGCCATCACAGTCACTGCTACAAAACTACCCAAGGTGGCGTCTTGGGACGCTGCTGGCTGCCATCACAGTCACTGCTACAAAACTACCGAAGGTGGTGTCTTGGGACACTGCTGGCTGCCGTCACAGTCACTGCTACAAAACTACCGAAGGTGGTGTCTTGGGACGCTGCTAGCTCCCATGCACTGCATGAGCCTGCCCTGGAGAAGTCGTCTGCCCTGCAGGAATCTACCTAGCTGGAACACCAGAACCAAAGCGGAAACGTCTCCCCAGCACCCTCTACTGAGCAAAGCTTAACATCGCATCAGCTGGCAAAGGAAACTATTTCAAAGGCCTGATCCATTTTCACAAAGCAGGTGGTAAAGGTGAATTTGGAGCTGAGAGGCAATACATTGTTAACTGGCATATATACCCAATGCTATTGGTCAATAGATGAAGACTGTTCTGAGGCTTAGGGAGGCAGAAATTCTTTCTGCAACACTTCTAGCCCACCACACATATAGGCCAGGCATGCTTCAGCATCCAGGGAAAAATGTCTTGCAAAGGAATTTATGTCCTGGCAGATGGGAGCCGGCCTGGCATGCACTGAGGTATAAAAGAAGTGAGTACGGGTAGACACTGACCCTATCTGCTAGAACCAGTATTCCATTTTCCACCTGCAATAAGATCATGATTGTGTTCATGCACAAGCAGGCCAGCCCCATCCAGAATCCCATAGGAGGATGTGTTTCCTGGCTCTTCTCCCAGTTGCAAGATTGTCAGTCAGGGTCTAATCAGATAAAAACAATTTATTTACAGCAGAGGGAATACAATTGCAGGTGTGATGGTTAATGTTAATATGTCACCTTGACTGGGATAGGAGACAGCCAGAGAGATAGAAAAATAATACTTCTGGTTGTATCTGTGAGGCTGTTTCTGGAAGAGAGTAGCATTTGAATCAGTCCACTAAGGGAAGAAGACTCGCCCACACCAGTGTTGGGGAGCATCATCTCATCTATTGAGGGCCCATCTGAATAAGACAAAAAGGCAGAAGAAAGGTAAATTGACTGTCTTTTTGAGCTGGGACATCCATCTTTTCTTGCCCTCAGACATCAGACTTCCTGATTCTCAGGCCTTCAGACTCCAGGGACTTAAGCCAGTGCCTCAGTCTCAGAGTGGGAGTTATACTTTCTCAGCTCTTCCAACTTGGACTGAATTACACTCCGACTTTCCTGGTTCTCCAGCTTGCAGATGGTATATTGTGGGACCTCTCGGCCACCATAGTCACATGAACCAATTCCCATAATAATTCTCCAAGGTGTGTGTGTGTGTGTGTGTGTGTGTGTGTGTGTGTATCTTTTTGGTTCTTTTCCTCTGGAGAACCTGGACTAATACAGCAAGGAATTGCAGGTGCTGGAGGATCTGAGAACCAAACATAGGACTAGCAGTTAAAAACAGATTATCACTGGGAGGCCAAGGTGGGCAGATCACTTGAGGTCAGGAGTTTGAGACCAGCCTGGAGAACATGGTGAAACCGTGTCTCTACTAAAAAAGAAAATACAAAAATTAGCTGGGCATGGTGGCAGGCATCTGTAATCCTAGCTCCTCAGGAGGCTGAGGCAGGAGAATCACTTGAACCTGGGAGGCAGAGATGCAGTGAGCCAAGATCATGCCACTGCAATCTAGCCTGAGCGACTGGGAGACTCCATCTCAAAAAAAAAAAGAGAGAGAGAGAGAGAAATTATCAGGGAGGCAGAGTTACCGGTGCCCACGGTCTGGGATCACTCGATGGAGGCTGCAAGCAGAAAAGCAGAATAGATTTGTCTAGGAGGAGGTAGAATCACTGAGAAAAAGCCATCATTATTCTAACGTTGCTTTCTTCTGGATGACCCCACTCAGAACCCAGATGGCTGGAATCTTAGGCAATATAGCTTACAGGGGAAAGGAAAGGAATGTCTGTGAAGGCAAACAATCTCCAAACTGGAAAATTAGGCAAGATTGTTGGCTGAAGACACTGAGTTAGGTAGGTTGTTATTCCATAGAAAGGAAGAAAAATGCTGCATGAAAGGTTGGATACATCGAAGAAAAAGGCATGGATGGAAAACATCCATAACTTTCACACTATGAAACAGAATAACTGAGGGTGGTATTGCTCTTAATTTCTTTAAAGCTATGAGACTGACTTTATCTTCGGAGGCAGTGAGTTTGATTCAAGTATTAACTTGCATCTGATTGTAATAATAGTGAATTTTTAAATTCAGGGTGTCGCCTCTTTTTTCCCCCTTTTTTGAAATAAACCTCTGGAATTCTTACTGCTTCCAGAAGCTATTTTAATCTTCGGACCTTGGAGGGTATTCATATCTGATCTTATAAGAATAACGTAACACTTGGGGGCAAAGATGCAGCCAAGTAACTTAGCACTGGAAGCTAAGATGAAGAAGACCTCCATGGCTTCCGGGACTTTCCCCTTGGTGCTATGGGCGACAGGGAGGGAGGTGACCCAGGCACTGCAGAACACCAGCATGCTGAACATCAAGAACTTGGATTTATTGAAGGTGTCAGGCAAACCCATGGCCAGAAAAGCCAAGGTAAAACTCCCCAGGGTCAAGGAGCCCAGGTATCCTAGGACACGGTAGAAGGCAGTGCTGAAACCCTCATTGCGTGTGACAACTACAGATCCAAGCTTAGAGTGTGTCTGTGTCAATGAAGGGAGCAAAGTTTCTCAGCCCGAGTTGACAGATCAGGAGGTAGATTCCACTTGGATCAGGGAGAATATGAAAAGGACAAAATTAGGAGATCCTGATACCAATCACCATCTTATTCTCCCTGGCATTCTGGCCTTCAGAGCCAGAACTACAGTAATGGTTTTGGTCAGAATGATAGAAACACAACTCTAAATGTTATTTGTTGTAGTCACCAGGTAACTGTGTGGGGGGGTGGCCAATGAAGAGGGCGGAGCAGAGGAAGAACAGTGTGAGGGAGGTCAGACTTTCAGCAGAATGTATCTGAAAGTCCGTGTACTGGCTTTGACTGAGGGGATTTCCTGATGCTTCACAAATACCCCAAGGACCATTGTAGTAAGGACAGAGAAGCAGAGCTGTGCAGGCCAGAGCCATCCCCAAAGGGTCTTCAAAAGTCAAGAAGTTCACATCCTTTGGAAGATAGTAAATTCTCTGAGTATTCTGATATTGATCATCTGGACACTTCTTATACTGAATAGTATCTGAAATTTGTGCCTAGTTGGGTTTTTTTTTTTTTTTTGGAAATAGACAATATGATTCTAGAGTGTGCATAGGAAAGAAACTATCCTGGAAAAATTCTGAAACAGTAGAAAAATATGGAGGAGGTCACACTGACTGAGTTTCATAACATTCTTTAAGGGTATAATAATAAAAGGTTTGGTATTTGTGTATAAATAGGTAACTAGATAAAGGAATGGAATAAACGGTTCAGAAATTGACCAAAATAGATACGATTATTTGGTATATGGCAATGATGGCACTGCATTTGGGGGGGGATTCATGGGCTATTTAGTAAATTCTCTCCAGATTATGTACAGACACAATGGTTTTTTGTTTAAGGTTCATAAATTCTTACTGATTCCCAGAAACAAAAAGTCATTTTTGGCATTGTAGGGCACCTTGTCCACTCAGTGCTATACTCAAATGTCATGCTAAAAGCATGTTACAGAAGCAATAATTTCAGACTAACATGCCCATTCTCTCCTTGGTTTTATTTCCCAAAATAACATTTTCTCTCACTGTTCATTTTTCCACATGCCAGTAAATTATTTTCCATTTTCTTTCATAATGAAAGCATTACACTCCCTTAAACATTTAAATATCCATTCTCTAGGCCAAGAGTCCACAAACTCTAGCCTACAGGTCAAATCTAGCCATTACTAATTTTATAGGGCTTATAATCTATGAATGTTTTAATACTATTAGATGGTTGCATTTTAAATGGTTATACAAGCATTTACATATTTTCAGTTTCACCTCTTTGCTTGCAAAATCTGAAATATTTACTATCTGGCCCTCTAAGAAAAACATTTGCTGAACTCTGCCTTATCCCGGATTATTTACACAAATGGCAATTATTTTCTGAGAATTTACACTGAACCCCATGCCTTATTAAGAATGGGGACCTGTTCAACTTTTAACAGATATCAAAGAGCCCCTCAGGTGTTAATAGTTAAATATTTCTTAGTGTACCCCTTCCACATTTCGAGGTAGAATTCAATCAGCTTAATGTGGCAGGAAAGGTCTTAATCCTCTTGTTTGTACATAGGTTTCTGACCTTATCTTTTGTCATAAACCAAACACTGTATCCAAAGATTCTGATGTAGAAATTGATGTATCATACTCACAGCGCTCATGCCTTCTCTCTTCGCCATGACCTTCTGCAGGGCGTTTCCTTTGCTCTCTTCTTTGCTTGACTAATTCCTACTTGTCTTTAATAATGTAGTCAGCATTACTTGCATTAGGATGTGCCTCCATGCCTCCCCAGACTCTGGTACCTGTGTCTTTGAACCCTTTCTCCTGGGTTGCCTTTCTCATTAGGCTATGAATTATCAATGACAGTGTAGTTTTATTAAACAAACACTGAAAAATTGGTACCTACATAGACAGTCAAGAAACATATGGAGAAAAATATTCATAAAAATACATTTATTGTCCAGGCGTGGTGACTCACGCCTGTTAATTCCAGTACTTTGGGAGTCCGAGGTGGGCGGATCACCTGAGGTCAGTAGTTTGAGACCAGCTTGGCCAAAATGGTGAAAACCCATCTCTACTAAAAACACAAAAAATTAGCTGGGTGAGACAGCAGGTGCCTGTAATTCCAGCTACTGGGGAGGCTGAGGCAGAAGAATCATTTGAACCTGGGAGGCAGAGGTTGCAGTGAGCTGAGATCATGCCACTGCACTCCAACCTGGGCAACAGAGCGAGACTATGTCTCCAAAAAAAATAATAATAATTTATTGTAGCAATATTATTATCAGGTAAAATAGAATTCAAAGAGATATACAGAGGAGAAAAACACATAAAATAAAAATTACACCAGGCTTGGTGACTCACACCTGTAATCCTAGCATGCTGGGAGGCTGAGGCAGGTGGATCACCTGAGGTTGGGAGTTCGAGACCAGCCTGACCAACATGGAGAAACCCCGTCTCTACTAAAAATACAAAATTAGCTGGGTGTGGTGGCACATGCCTGTAATCCCAGCTACCCGGGAGGCTGAGGCAGGAGAATTGCTTGAACCCGGGAGGTGGAGGTTGCAGTGAACCGAGATCGCACCATTGCACTACAGCCTGGGCAACAAGAGTGAAATTCTGTCTGAAAAAAAAAAAATTAAATAGATAAAACACCATTTTCTCCTTTAGAAGACTCAATATAATGATATTAATTTCCTGCATGTTAATGTATAAATTTCATTCAATACAAATATCAAATAATAATAATAATAGGGGTTTTGTTGTTGTTGTTGTTGTTGTTGTTATTGTTGTTATTTTCAAAACAGAGTCTCGCTCTGTCACCCAGGCTGGAGTGCAGTGGCTCCATCTCGGCTCACTGCAACCTCTGCCTCCCAGGTTCAAGGGATTCTCCTGCCTCAGCCTCCCGAGTTGCTGGTACTACAGGCTCATGCCATCACGCCTAGCGATTTTTTTTGTATTTTTAGTAGAGATGGGATTTCACCATGTTAGCCAGGATTTTCTGGCTGATTTCCTGACCTCGTGATCTGCTTGCCTTGGCCTCCCAAAGTGCTGGAATTACAGGCGTGAACCACCCTGCCTAGTTGGGTTTTTTTGTTTTTGTTTTTGTTTTTTTTGGAAATAGACAATATGATTCTAGAGTGTGCATAGGAAAGAAACTATCCTGGAAAAATTCTGAAACAGTAGAAAAATATGGAGGAGGTCACACTGACTGAGTTTCATAACATTCTTTAAGGGTATAATAATAAAAGGTTTGGTATTTGTGTATAAATAGGTAACTAGATAAAGGAATGGAATAAACAGTTCAGAAATTGACCAAAATAGATACGATTATTTGGTATATGGCAATGATGGCACTGCATTTGGGGGGGGTAACATGGGCTATTCAGTAAATTCTCTCCAGATTATGTACAGACACAAAATAAATTCCAAATAGTTCAAATATAAACTAAATTGTAAAAGTATTAGGGGCCTGGAGCAGTGGCTCACACCTGTAATCCCAGCACTTTTGGAGGTTGAGGTGGGTGGATCACCTGAGGTCAGGAGTTTCAGACCAGCCTGGCCAACATGGTGAAACTCCGTCTCTATTAAAAATACAAAAATTAGCTGGATGTGATGGTGGGTGCCTGTAATCCTAGCTCCTCAGGTGGCTGATGCAGAATTGCTCGAACCTGGGAGGCAGGGGTTGCAGTGAGCCGAGACTGCACCACTGTACTCCAGCCTGGGCAACAGAGCGAGACTCCACCTTACTAAATAAATAAATAAATAAATAAATGTATTAGGAATGGCGACTTAACACACAGTGGGCAGGAGGGTGGGCAAGCGGTCTCCTCTGGGCAGGGTCCTGGCTAGTGCTGTGGGCACCACAAGGGGAAGAACAGCCCTGTGCTGTCCTCTGGGTAGTAGGAGACTGGAATTGGGACACTTGGGGTTGTATGTTTTTTGAAGCTTTGACTGTGATTTTTAAACAATAAAACGTTCTTAAAAAAAAAAAAAAAAAAGGTAACCATTGAGAAAGATATTCAATCTCATAGTGGCAGAGAAATTTAAAGGTAATGGGCATTTTAGATAATGCAGGTTTAATAAGACTTTAGAAATAAGAAGACACATAGAAAGTAAAACAGGCTTTCCAAAAATCAGGCACAAAATATAAAGACAATGACTCTAGAAAAGAAGGTTGTTAAATTCCTACTGGCTTTCATAAGATACAGTTGGAAGAAATCTTTATGACTCTTAAATAGGTTTGATCACAGAAGTAAAACATGACTGCACACTCTTGGAAGAAATGAAGTAATTTTAGCAGGGTGCGGTGACTCACGCCTGTAATCTTAGTTTTTTGCGAGGCTGAGGCAGGTGGATCATTTGAATTCAGGAGTTTGAGACCAGCCTGGCCAATATGGTGAAATCCTGTCTCTACTAAAACTACAAAAATTAGCCAGGCATGGTGGCGGGCACCTATAGTCCCAGCTACTTGGAAGACTGAGACAGGAGAATTGCTTGAACCCGGGAGGTGGAGGTTGCAGTGAGCCGAGATTGCGTCACTGCACTCTAGCCTGGGTGATAGAGTGAGAGTCTGTCTCAAACAATAAATAAATAAAAATAAAAATAAAAAATAAATCAATTAATTTTAGAGTTAACACCAAGGAAGGACTGCAAGACAAAAAACAGGCACCTAGGCTAATCAAATTGTCTGCATCTAATAATGACTTGATAAGGAAAGGAAGAAGAAGAAAGGGACTACTGTAATCTCTGGGTAAATGTTACTCAAGATCCCAATGAGAAAGATGCTGAGTAGGATTACGGTGAGTAATAAGTCACAAAAACAGAGTTTGAGTTTTGTAGAAAAATGGAAAATGAAGTCTATGTACTTGTGAATTTTGTGGATATTGCAAATATGTTAATTCTGCCACTGACCAGTCCCTTAAAACAGCTGGTAGATCAGCAAACAGAATATGCATAGACCTCTCACTGTTCTACTCACTGGTTAGCATCACTGTTTAACAAGACCCTGGAATGGAGAAAAGTAAGAGCTCAATATCCAGGTTCCCAGGAAAAGGTGGCCTGTGATTGTATTCAGCTATACTCGATGTTTCAATTGCTATCTGCAATCTAAATAGAACATAAAATTGAGAGATCTAAAAAGAAACGGTGGATATTTCTGATTCTCTGAAACATAACATGCTACATGTCCTCAAAACCTTATGAATGGCCCGGCACAGTGGCTCACGCCTGTAATCTCAGCACTTTGGGAGATCAAGGTGGGTAGATCACTTGAGGTCAGGCATTTGAGACAGCCTGGCCAACATGGTGAAACCCCGTCACTACTAAAATTACAAAAATTTGTCGGGCATGGTGGCACGTGCCTGTAATCCCAGCTACTTGGGAGGCTGAGGTAGGAAAATCGCTTGAACCTGGGAGGCGGAGGTTGCCATGAGCCGAGGTCATGCCACAGCACTCCAGCCTGGGTGGCAGAGCGAGACTCCGTCTCAGAAAACAAACAGACAAAATTATTAGCTGGGCGTGGTGATGGGCGCCTGTAATCCCAGCTACTCGGGAGGCTGAGGTAGGAGAATCACTTGAACCAGGGAGGTGGAGGTTGCAGTGAGCCGAGATAGTGCCACTGCACTCCAGCCTCGGTGATAGAGTGAGACCCTGTTTAAAACAAACAAACAAACAAACAAAAAAACAAACAAACAAACAAAAACCTATGAGCAAAGTCAAAAGATCAAGTGGAAAAATCTTTTTCGCTTAAATAGCATGCAAAAAACTTGATCTCTTTATATATATATGTATACACACACACACACACAAATATAAAAAATATATATAGTGTGTATACATATCTTCTTTTAAATCAACAAGAAAAAGACAACCGAGTGGAAAAGGTAAATGGAGGTAAATAGATAATTCATAATAGATATGAGAATGGTTCTTAAAAATATGAAAAGATGTTCAATTTTTCTCATTACTAGATAATTTAAATTAAGCCAACCAAGTAACCATTTTGCCTATCAAGTTAGCAAAGAGTAGACCAAGCAACCCCCCTGAAGTTTCCACAGCTTTCCTGTGTTCAGAGACCATCTGACAGGAAAAATTTTAAAAAGGGTAGGGAAACACATTTAGAGAACAAAATATCTCTTATAGGGAAGCTAAATTAAGTGGCATATTTTCCTCAAATGAGTTGCTTTAAACCTGGAAAAACTACTATCTTCAGTTTGCAAGTATTAAATATTTTTCCCCAGTGTTTGCTTCCTTCAGGAGTGGAAGCCCATGAGACTAGTTGAGATGTGCTATTTATAACTAAATAGTATTATCATAAATAATTAACTGGGTGAATATAAAGGAGTGAGAAACAGTTGAATATAATTCTTTGTAACACCTGTCTGAGCAAAGTTCACATCAAAGCAGCATGGAGCCTCCCCTTCCAAAGGGGTTTTTCTGAATCCGGGACCACAGCTTGAGCTACACACAGAGCTGGGAGTCTATGGAAATGTATTACTAATAAATATACACATTAAGAGCAATAGGCGAGGTAGCCAGAGGTCAGAACAAAGGTTGCTTTTGTATTTAGGTGAACAAAGAATATAATTATATGGATAATCTAGGTATATTTTCCTAATACATATATTTATATTTTTGGCCAGGCGCGGTGGCTCACGCCTGTAATCCCAGCACTTTGGGA